CACACACACACACACACACACACACACACACACACCAACTCTCGGTTCTGTAATCTTTTCACATTTGCTTTGTAGTAATCTAAATTACAGAGCTGCTGTTATCAAGAAAATACTCATATTTATAAACCAAATGTGAGTTGCTTGATTGTATTTTAAATATTAACCACTTTCCATTTAGAAATCTTGGAATATAATATACAGCAGAAGCAGTCTCAGCTGCTGGAGATGCAAGTGGAGCTCAACAGTGTGAAAGACAGAGCAACAGAACTGCAGGAACAACTGAGTTCTGAGAAAATGGTGGTTGCTGAACTGAAGAGTGAGCTCGCACAAACTAAATTGGAACTAGAAACAACACTCAAGGCACAGCATAAGCGCCTAAAGGAATTAGAGGCATTCAGGTGTGCCAAGCTTCCCTATTACAAATGTGTATTAGTGAAGGAATTGGCGTGATTTTGTCATAAACACTGTGCAAATATAAAAATATAACATTATACCTCATATACAAACAACATGAAACTATGTTATTTTAGGAAAAACTGTAGTAGAGAGAAAAAACTGTAATTGTTTCTAAATTATGAATTCATGATAATATTGACATATTATCAATTGTGGCTTTAGTTCTATGTGAAACTTACAGAATTTATGATTTTGACATTTATTTCACCACTAACTAATTTGAATTGTTATTTATGAGCTCAGTAGGATTTGTGGTTTAGTTACCTAAAATTTGCAGAATGTTTGAAGAGATAATACTTGTATAAAGGATATGTTGGTGTAAATACTGAGATATTCTGCTTGCCAAAGACACATTATGAGTATAATCATTTTTATGTTAAACGTTGGTTATACTCACAGAAATACACATGGTAATTCCCATGTTCAGTAAAAGACAAGGGAAATTTGTGTTAATATTATTTTATAACAACAAATTGCGTGATTGTTTGCAATGGTAAATAATAACTAACAGTTGTACTACTAGGAGCAGTTAAGAATCACAATCAAGAATCTTCTATCTTTACATGGTTTATATTTTCTTATTAGCTAGTTTATGCCTCAACTTTTCAATGAAAACCTCTCTCTCTCTCTCTCTCTCTCTCTCTCTCTCTCTCATTCTCATTATATTCTTGGTCAGCATGGTTTTATGAAAGTCCATTTGTCTCTCTGATGTAGATTGGAAGTTAAAGATAAGACAGATGAAGTGCATTTGCTTAATGATACACTAGCAAGTGAACAGAAAAAATCAAGAGAGCTCCAGTGGGCTTTGGAGAAAGAGAAAGCAAAATTGGGATGCAATGAAGAACGCGATAAAGAAGAATTAGAGGTATTGTTATCATTATGTTTATATG